TCAAACCCCTCCCAGGCCGTAGAGGAAGAGGCACCTTGCCGTCAGCACCAGCTGCCAGCTCGGTGGGTGCGTTGTAGGCCAGCTGCAGGAAAGGCAGCAGAGCAGCAAAGGAGGACCAGGGGAGTGCGCGGCGTGAGGGAGGGAAGGAGGGATAGATGGAGAGGAGGGCAGCGCCACCTTGGCCGTGCCGCACCCCCCGTGCTTGCTGCGATGCATCCGGTTGCTGCCTGATGCAGAGCACTCTCCAGTTGGTCTGGCGGCATCATTGCACCCCTTGTATCACTCACATGTGTGTACAGCTTCTCCACACCGCTGAAGCCAGTCGCCCGCTCGTGGTGCTCCTTGATCACTCGGGGCAGCTCCTCGAGCGGCACCACGGGGCACCACCGCCACTCTCCGCTGCGCTTGACGCAGCGGCACAGGATGTCCTGACCGCCAGCGCCCTTCAGCACCTGGAAGAACTGCAGCACCTTCTTGCTGTAGTTCTTGGCGCCGCCCTGCACTGCCGCCCCCCCTCCCGCACCCCGCCGCCGCCGGCCTGAGGGCGCCTGCTGGTCGCCCTGCTTGATCCGGATGATGCCCTCTACATCTGACTTAGTGAGAAACACATTCTTGGCGCCGTTTTGGCGCCGTTCTAAGGCATAAAGGATGACAGGTTGGTTCATAATTTTAAATTTGCGGCAGCTGCGGGGTGCGGGAGGGGAGAAATAGAAGCCTTAGAGACTCTGAAAGGCGAAGGAAAGGGAGGGATCGCGGGAGAGAGCGTGCCTGATGAGCCAGACGAATCGGGGGAGGTGCCACATCAGCGGGCAACACATGAGCTGGTGGAAAGTCGAGGGAATGCAACGCAACCAGTACACTCCTGTCCTGTCGAAATTCCCTACAGGGACCGCCCTGAATACACTCAGCATCAACATCAAGCAAACCCCTCAGCCGGAGCAGCCCTCCTGGGCAAAGCGCCGCTGCACATGCTGCGGGTCGGGTGCACCGCCGCCGCCTGCTGCCGGCTGGGCCAGCGCCAGCAGCTCTGCCAGCAACCCGCAGGCCAGCTCGTGCCGTGCCTTGTCTACTCGCGCCGCCCGCGCCTGCTCCCGCGCGCCGATGACGGCGACAGCGCTAGTGCCGTCACCAGGCTCGGTGCCTGCCTCCTCCTCCCCTGCCCGACCGTTGCTGCCACCGTCGCCGGCCTCATCTGCCGCGGCAACTTCCTGCTGCTCCTGCTCCTGCTCCTGCTGCGCTTTGCTGCCACCGTGGGGGAAGGCATCAGCCAGCAGCTGCAACGCCTCCTCCAGGTCGCTCGCTGCCGCCGCGGGCTGCCGCGCCGCAGCGTGCGCCTGCCCCAGCGTCTGCAGGCACTGCGCCGCCTCCAGCGCCGCTGCATCTGGCCGCTGCGGGCGCCGCAGCGCGCTGAGCTGCGGCTTGGAGGGGCGCAGCCAGCCCAGCAGGCCGCCGCCGGCCTCGGGTTGGCCCCTGCGCCGCTCCCAGTCCAGCGACTCCTGATATGCCTGCTGAGCTATGCTCACCGCCTCCTGAGAAATGGCCACCGCCTCCTGCACCTCCCGCTCCTTGAGCGCCACACCCCCGCTGGCGCTGGCGCTGGCAGCGCCCCCGCCAGCACCAGCCCCTGCCGCCGCTGCTGTGCTGCTCGCTGCGCTGCCAGCTGCAGGCCCCCCCGACGTGGTCGCGCCGGCAGCCGTGGACGCGGCCGTCGCCTCCTCTGCCGCTGCCGCCGCCAGCTCCAGCTCGGCAAGCTTGCGCAGCGTGACGGCGACCACGGGGTGGCGTGCCCCCACGTGCGTCGTGCGTGCCTCCAGGGCGCGGTGCATCAGGCCGCGCGCCTCGTCCCACTGCCCCCGCCGCTGCAGCGCCGCCGCCAGGTTCTCTGCTGCGGCGGCGTAGTTGCCGTGCTCCAGGCCCTGCGGGGGAGCGGGGTAACAGAAGGAGGCTTTTTGGGGGGGGGCGGGTAGCCAGCGGCGGGCGAGCATAGCAGCTGGCGTGAACTGGCAATGCTGCGCTTCTCGCCCACCACACCCACCCACCCACACCCACACCCACACATGAATGACAACAGGCCCAGCCCCACCTGCGTGGACTCCACATAAGAGAGGATGCTGCGCAGCAGGCGCTCCGCCTCCTCGGCCCGCCCCGCCTCCAGCAGCATCTCGGCCAGCCGCCCGCGCCGCCGCACGCAGCCGGGGGTGGCCCCCACGCCCTGCATGCCACGCCAGCGGCAGCAGCCCAAGCATGTGGGCAGGCGTCGGCATCCGCGTGGCCAAAGAAACGGTCCTGACCGCTGTATGGCAGGCAGCGCACAGAAGGGCGTGCGCCAGCGCGGGGAGTGTGCCGGGAGGGCATCCCGGGCCGCCCATGCGGGTGCGGCGCCCGGGGTATTACTCGCGGCAGGTGGCTTGCTCTGCCCCGCATGTGAACGGGCCCTCAGCCATGTGGGAAGGGCTGGGGCCCTACCTGTGCGGGGCCGGCACGGCTGAGCACGCAGGCAGCTGCCATCTCATCCCCAGCAGCAGCAGGCAGATGCAGCAGCAGCCGCGCCCCGCCCTCACCCTCCACACATGGACAACCGCACACCCAAAACAAAAACAATAACACTGTGATATTCACACACACTACATGCACACACAGCACACCACACAGCGCACACAGCCCACACAGCGCACACCTGCGCCTCCATGATCTCCAGCGAGTCCTGCATCAGCTGGATGGCCTGCCGCCCCTCCCCCTGCTGCCACCGCACCTGCGCCAGGTGGAACATCGTGTTGCTGGTCTCGCTGCGGGGGCAGGGGGCAGAGCGGGAGACCGGATGGGCGCAGAGCAGGGAGGCAGCGTCGCGTAGCATGCGTGGGTTGGCAAGCATGCAAAGGAGTTGCCAGTGCCAAACCTAAGCCGGCGCCGCCTTAACCTGCGCCCAGCCGCCCCAGTCACCCCACCCAGCCCTGATATACAGATGGCCCCCCGCACCTGTGCCCCGTGCCCAGAACCTCCAGCTTCAAGCGCAGCGCCTGCTCGTAGCACTCGGCCGCCTGCTCCAGCTGGCGGCGGGCCAGGTGGAAGCCGCCCAGGTTATGCAGGGCAAAGGCGACCCGTGCGTCGTGCAGGCCGTAAGCCTTGGTCAGGATCTGGAGAGCCTGTGGCGGCGGCGTGGAGGGAGGCATGGCAGGGCAGGTGGTCGGGTGCGGCTCGGCTGGTTGCTGGATGCGGTGGTGGTGGTGGTCTGTGTGTGTGTGGATGTGTGTGTGTGTCGGATGTGAATCAGGCAGCAGGCAGCGCTGAACGCCACACCCGGCGGCGATGCTCCAGCCCCTTTGAAGCAGCACTGCGCAGCGGCCCACCTGCTTGTACAGCGGCTCGGCCTCGTCGTACCGCCTGCGCAGCCGGTAAAACTCGGCCAGGTTGTTGCAGGCGGAGGCCATGTGTGGGTCCTCCTCGCCAAACCCCTCGCGCGCCATCTCCACAGCCTGAAGTAAGGGGAGACAAGGAGGCGTGCCAGGTTGCAGCATGGATGCGACTAGGTGGATGGCGGGCAGCAGCGCTAGCGCTAGCGGCGGCCGTCCCTCTTGCAGAGCCCCCCCACCACCAACCAACCTTTTTGAAGCAGCGCTCCGCCTCGCCGTGCCGCCCCTGCTGCACCAGCTCCCGCCCCATGTCAGTAAACACGCGCCACTGCGGGGCAAAGGCAAGAGCAGGACGGGCAGGCGGGCCGGTGGTTGCGCCTGTTCGTGAGTCGGCTTAAAGGCGTGGCGATGGAACCAGACTGGCCTGGAGTTGCAGCATGGGCGTTTCTTTGGACATATGTTGCTGGCACCCGACGGCGGGCCCCACCTGGGCGGTGGCACTGTTGCTGATGGCCACCGGCTGATCCTCAAGCTGGATGTCGCTGGCACAGTCCGGGCAGCTGCTGTCGTCTGCCTGCTGCGCTTGCGTCTGCTGCTGCGGCGAGTCTGCCAGGCTCCACTGCGTGCAGGCAGCCGCTGCCAGACCGCCAGCGGCAGCGGCGGCGAGCGTGCGGCCAGTCAACCAGCCAGTCGCGGCACATGGCTGGCCGGCAATTGGGGCGGCGGCTCCTGCTGCCGTGCGGCTGGCTGCTGCTGCCGCCAGCCGTCTGGCAAACACCGTCAGGTGCCTCATGGGGCACCAAACTGCAGTAAGGTCTGCCGCTGGGGCTCCACTGTCAGATCTGGAGATGCCAGGACAGGGCAAGCTTGGGTTAGAGGCAACGAAACCAGCAATCTCCTGCTGCGTGCTGCCTGCCCCCGTGGCGGCTGCCCCCAAGCCACTTTGCAAGGCTTTGCAGCTCCCATATGACTCCCTGCTGGACGCCATCATCAGAAGCGGCCAGCCGTCTGCAAGCATACCAGGAGAGCCCCTTCAGTGCATGTGTTGCCCGCTGATGTGGCACCTCCCCCGATTCGTCTGGCTCATCAGGCACGCTCTCTCCCGCGATCCCTCCCTTTCCTTCGCCTTTCAGAGTCTCTAAGGCTTCTATTTCTCCCCTCCCGCACCCCGCAGCTGCCGCAAATTTAAAATTATGAACCAACCTGTCATCCTTTATGCCTTAGAACGGCGCCAAAACGGCGCCAAGAATGTGTTTCTCACTAAGTCAGATGTAGAGGGCATCATCCGGATCAAGCAGGGCGACCAGCAGGCGCCCTCAGGCCGGCGGCGGCGGGGTGCGGGAGGGGGGGCGGCAGTGCAGGGCGGCGCCAAGAACTACAGCAAGAAGGTGCTGCAGTTCTTCCAGGTGCTGAAGGGCGCTGGCGGTCAGGACATCCTGTGCCGCTGCGTCAAGCGCAGCGGAGAGTGGCGGTGGTGCCCCGTGGTGCCGCTCGAGGAGCTGCCCCGAGTGATCAAGGAGCACCACGAGCGGGCGACTGGCTTCAGCGGTGTGGAGAAGNCTGTACACACATNGTGAGTGATACAAGGGGTGCAATGATGCCGCCAGACCAACTGGAGAGTGCTCTGCATCAGGCAGCAACCGGA